TCCCCGCCTCTGGGAAGCCTTCAGGCAGGAGCCAATTCTGTCTTTCATGTGTGCTCCCAGCATCGCGTGTCCCTCTGACAGCACTGCTTACAAGGAACTATGATTCTCATGCGTCTGTTTGCCACTACTAAACTGAATATGCCTTAGGGGTGGGGGCTTTGCCTTATTTGTAGCCACATGTCCCACAGCTGCTCAGGACTGTCTCACTGGAGCCCAGGGAATGTGTTAGAGTCCAAAGGAAGATAAAAGTTCAAATAAGAGAAGCAGTTAAGGAAAGATCTACAGAGAAGGCGGGACATGAGTAGCACATTGGAAGACACAGAATCTCAAAAAACAGTGAGAAGAAGAAAGAAGATTCAGGTTGGCCAGGACAGAAGGGAACAGAAGGGAGGGACTGGGAAAGCACTGATGTTCTCCGAGAGAGGAATCCGATATGTTTGTAGGAGTGAGGGCTCAGGTGGGGAACAGGAACATTAGACTAGGGCTTGTCTGGGAGGTGACAGACGCCAGGCTAAGGACTTGGAACTCCAGTGTTCCAGTTAAGTTTAAAAAGTGAATATTGCACGATTTCCTATAACTTCAAACCTCATAGGTTTGAGAACAATTGTCATGAAAATAATCCTAAAAACTATCATTTATTATGTTAACAGTTCCATATAGCTTTCTTTTTTTTTTTTTTTTTTCTTTTTTTTTTGTTTTTTTCTGGTACCGGGAATTGAACTCACGATGTCGCGCTTGCCAGACAGGGGCTGTGCCGCTGAGCTAAATCCCCAGCCCCTAGCTTTCTCTTAATTTGAGTTTACAGCAGCTCTCAGAGGTAGTTACAAGTAATCCCTCTATTTACAGGCAAAAAAACAAACTCTAAGAAGTTAACTTGCAGAACTCACCAGCTAGAGTTGTTGGAAGAGGGGCGCTGGAGTGGCTCAAACACAGGGTGTTAAGAACAAAACGAAGCCCTTGACCACTACCCTGCTCCTTGGCCTCCCCGCTGTGCGATGCCTGGGCTGCAGGGTAAGGACGAAGTCACAGGAGCAGAGAGGAGACGGGGGAATATCTTAGGACTCAGGAAAGGCATCTGCTTCAGACATCTAAGGGAAAGGGCCACAGCCAAGGACAGAATTAGACACACAGGCAGGAGGAAGATCCAGACCACGCCATGGAATGGGAAAGAATGTTCTTGAAAGATGAGCTGAAAACCTTTCCTCTGTGTGCGTATTTCTGCCATGTGAATCATCCAGACCCAGATAAACCTTGCTGTTTAAGCTGGGGTCGCACCGCTGCCCCCACAAGGATGGGTGTGAGGATATGCTTTGCTGGCACTGCCTGGACAATGACAGGGCACAGGCTGGGATGATAGGGCAGCCCTGCTCCCAGGCAACAGATTACAGGAAGCCTGCCCACAGTCTGAGCAGTGCCCAAGTAGTTATTGTGGCTATGACTGGCAAGGGGTCACAGTCACATGTTTACGATGAATGTAATTTTGTTGGCTACAGCTTGTGTTCTGGAATGCCGCCTCTGGCCCGGCCCAGGCTACAAGAAAAAGGTGCTACACAACGATTTATTGTGTCAGGGTAGCGCATTCTAGTTTGCAAAGCCCTTTGTAATCTTGATCTCATTCCAGTTGGACAGCAACCCTGTCAGGTAGGTGAGGAAACCGAGGCAGAGACAAGTTAAGTGACTGATACAAGATCACACAGCAAATTGATGGCCAAACTGTAGCACGGCACTAAACCTTTGTGTTCCAAGTCAGTGCAGGGATCTGAAACTCCACGAACAACTGAGAAGAAAAAAGCAAGAGAGGACTCCAAGGAGAGAAAGATGTTTTCCCTCAGTGTCACTGTGCATCTGAAATGTGTGGTAAAACAAATCGCAACTTCTACAACTTTATACCTGATCAAAGCGTTTTCACTACATTGCTTCGTCCTACAAAGGCAGATAGGGAAGTTAGTGTAGGTGGTTTACAGAGAGAGAAACAGCGGTGCAGAGTGGTGAAGAAACCCTTCCAAGGTCACATAGCTGGAAAGAGCGTTGCATCTGGACTTGCATTCCTCCTGGAAGCATTTAGTGTGGTCAAGCAGTGGAAAATGGTCACAAGGCTGTGGTTCCAGTTGCTAGGGATGCTCAGTCCAAACCAGCAGCTCCCTGTCTGTCTGCCCTCCAGTTCCCACACTGTGAGCCCCAGGTTCCACCCTGACGGTTGCCCCTTGCAGCTTGTCCACAGCAAGCCACGCAGCAAAACAACCACCCTTGTCCTCCCCACTGCCACGCTGACCATGCCCGGGCGCTGTTGCTTAGCCATTCCTGCCAGGGCCCACATGATAATCCTGGAATAGCTGTCACTGTCAAACAGATGTGACCACACAGTCCCCTGGGATGACCCCTGGACATGTCCACAGTACAACTGTCTCCTTTGCCCTCCCTTTTTGGTAGCATGCGTCAGGATTTGTTTTCTCCGGTTCAAGTTTAAGTTCTGCTCACTTACCCTTTCTACCATCTGAGCTGGACATCCTGCCGAGAAAATAAAGCCTGGGGCCCAAGGGCTCAGGGAAAGATCTCTGGACAATGATCCCACCACCCTGATCCTGATCACTACCTAAATCCCCCTCCAAAGGCTTCAGGAGGCCCTCCTGAGTGGTACCCAGCCCTCAAGCACCTCTCTGGGCTAAGAGCTGCACTTGAGGCCTGGCTCCACCTCCTGGTGAATAAATACTCCCTCTATGAAACATTTCCCATACCCCCTCTTCTCACTTCTTGTCCCACGCTGCCTGTAACTGTCCCACCATAGGCTGGAAACACTCAGACATCACCCAGCAGAAGAACTGATCAATGAATCACACATATTTATGACAGGATACACAAGGGTGCAAGCATATGAGCACCCACGGCCCCATCTGGATGGGTGAGCCTGTGAAACATTGTGTGAGGTACAAAAGAAGGTGTCAGAAGATGACACTTTTTAAAACTCAAAACCGGGCAAAACAAGACAACATATCACCTGGGAGTATATTTATACTTAATAAAACTATTTTTGAAAAATAAAACAATGGTAAACGTAAAGTTTAGGATATTGCTTACATGGGTGGGCATACAGAAATAGGATGGAGGGAACTAATTAGAGACGTAGGATTGGGAGATGGATCTGGACGATCATTTTGTTCTGTTTTATGGCTCACAGGTAGGAAGTGTTATTCTTCTTATAATCTATACCTATCAACTGCTACAGAACAATATTGCGGTTAGGTGGAGAGGATCTAAGAGTTGCCCTTCTTGTCTGCTCTTCCCTGTTCTGATTTTCCTGGTGGCAGGACAGCATGTGTCTAGCATGTGTCTACTGGGGATCTGACTTCTGTGTCCCCTGCCTGGCCACCCTGACATCCTCGACCCGGAAGATGTTTTACCTTCGTTCTCCGTTCCTTTGCCTCCCTCACTGCTGAAGACAATTGTTGCCGAAGTTCTCAGCCATTTGCTTAGCGATCACCATGGATAGCTTCAGCACTGCTCTTATTCAGCATTTCGGCAGCATTCGATGTAGCTGGCCCTGCTGCGCCTTCCCTGAGGACCCCCTCCTGGGTGCTTTCAGCAATCCCCCCAGCTCCCCTTCTATATCACACATACCACTTTGGGGCGTCTCTGCTGCTCCCCCTCCTCTGTCCTTTAGTTAAATGGCGGTCCTCTCTGGCCTGTTCTCATCCTACAGATTTCCATGGCTTCAGTCAGCACCTGAACACGGATGAGTTCCCAACTCGCTCTCCAGCCCAAACCTCTGTCCTGAGTGCCAGCCAAATACACATCCACTTGTCACCTCAACCTCTCCACCCGGGTGCCAAGTAGCCTCTTCGAGTCCAAACCTGCCCTTCCCCCACCAGCCTGGTCTCCTTCCAATGGCCTCTATATATGCATTCAAGTCTCCAAGCCTCCTGCAAGTCAGCCTTCTTCCACACCACTTTCACCTCTCTCCTGCTCCAGTCCCGGCCAGTCACAAGTCCAGCCATTCCTCCTCCTCAGGCGGCACTCACATCTGTCCATTCTCCTGATCTCTTCCAGACCTTTCTAGTCAAAGCCAGCATCCTGCACTGGCTGAATGAAAGGCACTGTCTCACTAGGTATCGCTGAGTGCCCAGCCTTGCTGCAATCCATCCTCCTCCCTGTGGACACTCTGTTCTTTAGAACATGCAAATCTTAATGCAGTCTGTCCCCTGCTTGACACCCTCTGGGGATCCCCAGTTCCCTCAGCCTCCTCCACCTCACCCTCCTGAGTCTCTCTCCACCTCTCTGCCTCCAACTGCACCCTCCAATCATGACGAACCCTCTCAGTGCCTCAAACACGCCCCGATTGCCTGTGACCTCCAGGGCTGAACCTCACACCTGCCACTGCCTACAACACGTGCCATCTCTTTCTTCCCTTGTCATCTCACCTGCCCCACCTGTTACCTCAGGCTCCAGTCTAACTGCCACTTCTTCCAGGAAGACTTTGCCGCCTGCTCCACTGCTGCCCAAAGAATGTTAGATTGTTCCACCAACTCATAGCACCCACTGCGCTTCCTAGTCCACCCTAGCACCATCGCACTCTGTAATCGTTGCTTTTTAAAAGATTTATCTCCCATGGTGCATCAGCCAGCAGGGACCTGACCTATGGTCTCACAGGCACTTAGGACAATGTCTGATCCCTACTAAGCTGGTAGGAAAAATTGTTGAATAAATGGATGGCATTCTGTTTTACATATGCCATATCATTGAACACATAAAAGAATCCTTTCAGACAGGTACTTTTAGTCTTATTTTACAGATAACAGCAAGGAAGTAACTTGCTCCCAATCACACAGCTAATAAATAGAAAGATAAAAGATGGGCCCAGGTTTGAACACCAAAGCCCACACCAGCCACCACCCTGTCCCCACCTCTTGCCATCCCATCCCCATCTCTCACCCCATATAAAGTCAGAGGGCTCCCTTACAGGCCTGGCCAAGGCTGCGACTCCAACGGCAGCTACCAATGGTTACCTGGAAGCAGGTGGGTCCCGGCCTCCCTGTGGGGATGTCTGACTGGTAGAACACTTTGAGCTCTGGAGTCAGGGCGATGACAGTCTTAATCACCAAAGAGATGATGTCAGACCAGACCTTCTTGATGTCAACACCTTTGGAAGACAGCCTACAAAGAATGCTGGAAAACGTCCTTTTGCTGCCTGTGCTAGCATTGTCTGAATGGACAAAGTTGCTGCTGTGAATATTCAGTGAATAGTTGGTTAAGTGCATGAAGACACGGTGTAGATTTTGGGGACTGGGCTCCTGATATGGCTCGGTACAAAATCTAGAAAGTCCATCTTTGGCTATGTAAATCTCTAAGGGGTCTAAGGACTTGAGCAAGACATACAGACGAATATCAAACTTGAGCTTGTCGATGAGGAGAGGTTTGCAGATGTATTCCTGGACCACTGCTGGCCTGCTCTGGAGGGTCCCAGCCAACCGGATGTCACTGGGATCTTTAATGAGGTAGATTCCGTCACCCTGACAACCACCATCAGGTTTCACAATAAAAGTGGGCTTCCAGGAGGGGTCACCATCTTTCACCATTTGAACCTAGGAAGGGGGAAAAGAATGATTAGTGTGCTACTCTTCTCCTCTGAGGTTCCCCAACACAGTAGGACCTAGGCAAACATCTGGTGGACGAGTAGATGCCTGTCTACCAGTTACTTGCTGGGCATCTTCCATGCAGATGACACTGTATGAGGTTCTAAGATAGTGACATAAGAACTGCTTTCTATTTGTGCTCCAGAGGAAAATGAAGAGCACACTGGATTGACAGCCACAAGCCTTGAGTTCAAATCTTGTTTCTTCAATTATTAGCTAAACTCTTGAAAAAGCCATGTAACTAATTAACAATGGTGGTAGTCTATTTGTGAGTGCCTACTATGTGCTAGGTATTTTACTAGGCATTTTATATAAATTGTCTCACCTAACTCTCTCAGAAAACCGTGTTCCCTCTTCACAATAGAGGACATGAAGAGGGTGCAGCTGGTGTGAGACTTGGGTTCAAACTCTGGTCCCTCCACTTACTATTCAACCTCAGGCAAGTTACTTAAGTTACCTGTGCCTTCCTCACCTGTCAAACAGGATTCAGGTTGTTCTGATGAGTCAGTGAGAAAACACCTGCAACAGACTAGGCACACAGAACCTGACATACACAAAACAACCAGAAGCCGAGCTACTGCTGTCTTATTGCCAAGTCATTTGCCAGATAACTCAGAGGCAGAACTGGGCTTGAAATTTAGATGGACGACTCCACAGCATTTGTACCTTTCTTCATACCACCAAGTCTTAGTTTTAAGATAAGGATATAAAATCCCACCCTTAATAGGTCCTTACAAAGTTGAAATAAACTAAAACGTGCAGAGGGCCAAGCAATACCTAGCACACAGAAAAGGTGAGATTTATCACTTACATCCATTATTAAGCTTGTCTAGCAACCTGGCTAATCCTTCAGTCTCTTGACATCTTTTTGAAACTGAAGTCTATTAGCCACAGTATCTGCTGTCCTCTCAGCTCCAGGTCAGCAGGACACTCCCATAATTAATTACTCAGGCACTTGACTAGTCCAGATCTAGACCTGCAGTCAGGCATAACTCATATACACCCAATTTCTCCAGTGAAATGGTTTGAACGTGCCCCCTCTCCCCCGGCCTGTGTTGGAAACTTAATCTCCAAATTCCTATGTGGACAGTATTTGGAGGTGGGGCTTTAAGGACAGAATTAATTCGATGAGGTCATTGATGGCTTTATAAGAAGAGGAAGAGAGGCTCAAGCTGGTACACTTGGCTCTACCTTGCCACGTGATGCCCTCTGCCATGTTAAGATGCAGCAAGAAGGCCCTCAGCAGATGCCACCACCTTGGTATTGGACCAGCCAGTCTCTGGTCTCTAGGAAATAAATTTCTATAAGTTGTCCAATCTCAGATATTTAGTTTTACCAATAGAAAATGGGAAAAGGTTCTCCTATGGGGAATGGATATCCTGACAGGCCAAGAGGTTTTCACCAGGGGAGAGGATCCACAGGAAGTGTGAAGAAGAGGGAGTCACGTCCTCTGCAACATCCGGTGTGGAAGTCCTGCTCTGAGCTGTGACCGTGCCAGCCGAGTTGGAGATGTGCCCCAGGACCGGGCTCCCCTCGGCCTCCACCTTTGCTGTGTAAGCCTCAATCAGGACATCTGCACTCTGGGCCGTACTTATCTCTCTGACCAGCCTATATTTCTAAGTGAAGCTTTTGCCAATTCCTTGGAGACTATCAGTTATTCCGGGCTTGTAAAAGATCTTTAACAATGGAGAAACACTTAAAGCCTTAATAATGGTCCACATCAATTGTTTCCCCTTGTCAGCAGGATTCAAGAATGGAACTTCACAGGAGATCAATGCAAGGCTCCCAGGGCCTTCCACCAAGCCTCGCTTGCAACGGTGACCTTGACGTTTATGTAGTTAGTTAATATTCATCCAAAGCATTCATACACATGGCCCTTTATAGTAAATAGGAGAGGGCTGGACAACTGGCAGTTACGGCTCAGGAAGAGAAAAATGTCAACTTGGCACTGATGGGTAATTTTTCCCTCTGGAAAGCTTTTGCTATGCCAAAGATACTAACAGTTCAATACATCATCAGGAACAATATTGTCTCCTTTGAATTCAGTGTATGTGCCTTAAATAAATTAAACCCTATGGTCAATAGTCTCTGTCATTCATCGCATTACTGAATATTTCTTCTGCTCTCTGCCGGAGTAGTAACTACACATCAAGGTTATTAATACTAATAGCATCATTGAATTTTTAGAGCTGAAAAGATCTGTGGAGATCAACACCGTCCCATCCTTTCATAATTCAAAGCAGAAGTTGAGGCTTAGAGAGGTGATTTGTCTGGGGTCTTCTCGCTGGCTATTGGGGGTCAGGTGGGGGTGGTAGGATGAGAACTGAGGTCTCTGATCCCACCTTAGTTCCCTGTCTTTTTTTAAACCTTTGATAAGATTAAAGTTCTCTTTTTCTGATTGCCCTAGGAAGGACTCTCTCAGTATCTTAGACTTAATATCTCCATGTTGTTATATGAGGGGTCTGCCAGCTGAGCATGACCATCTTGAAACTAAGAAAGAAGCACCTTCCCTGCGCACACACACACCCCAAGTTACTAAAGGAAAGAGCTAAGGTGCTGGCTCTTAGAAGTCATAGATCAAAATCAAAACAGAGTGTATAGATCTAGGCCCCTGCTCCAGTCCAAGAAATTCCAAACTTAATAGATCTTGGCTAAAACCTAGACACGTGTATTTTAGAAAAAGCACCACAGGTGATTGTGCTGCATCCTCTGAGATTTACGGGATTAATGCGAGTTAAATAAAAATATAATCTGAAACCAACATCTTGAATGCAGTTCTGTGCGTTGATGTTAGCAAGTGTGTGGAAGACTAGCACTTGGGCTACAGCTGATGGTTATCTCTAGTTTTATCTAAAGTTGCTGTTGGGTGTGAAATCCATTATCTTGTAACTGTATACACAGACAGTTGAAAAGATACACAGAGGATTCATCTGGCCTATTGTAAAATTTCTGCGTCTTTTACTGCCCCCTAGTGGTCATTTAGGAAATGCCATTAAAGCTGTTTTAAATTCTAGCACTGCTTAGCAGCAAGACATTCCATCAAGATGCTAAAACGGTCTCAAAGAAACACCACTACATATGGAGTATTGTTCAGCCTTGAGAAAAAAGGAGATTCTAATAACATGCATGTACCTTGAAGACACTGTGCAAGGGAAATAAGCCAGACACAAAAAGGCAAGCACTATGTGATTCCACCTCTACAAGGTCCCTAGAGAAGTCTTGAGACAGAAAGCAGAATGGTGTTGGCCAGGAGCTGGGGCCAAGGTGAATGGAGAGCTAGTGTTTAAAGGGTACAGATTTTCAGTTTCCCAAGACAAAAAAAAAACTCTAGAGATGAGTGATGCTTGCACAATGATGCAAATGTAATTAATGCCGCTGAAGTTAACACTTAACATAGTTAAACTGGTAAATTTTGTGATGTATATTTTACCTCAAGTTTTTATTAATTTCTTAAATTAAAAAAAAAAACCTTTGGTGAGTTAGAAAAAATATTGAAGTAAAAAAAAAAAAAAAAAAAAAAAAAAAACCCTGGATATTAGTCTCAATTTAGTTGGATAATTTTGACTGTGTGACCTTGAGAAAGTCATCCAACCTTGGGGGCCTTTGTTGTACTCACCTATAAAATAAAGAGGTCACACTTAGATCTCTGGCTTTACCAGCTAACAAGTGCTGAACAATGATTTATCCTGATATCACTACAGCTGAAGGCTGTGCTACAAACACGCAAGTGGCATTAATCACACCCGAGAGGTCACACTGCGCTGCTGTGATCAGCGCACCAGTATGATCTATAAGAGCAGAGATTCAGATCAGAGATTTATGATGCATTGAGGAAGTCAGCTGGGCATTTGGGAGAAGAAGCGAGCTAAAATATTGGGAGGGAGAAATTCAGCAACTGGAATACCAAGCCACAAAACATTATTAGCAGGGAGGGAGGGGCAGGTAAAAGGACAATTTTTGAAGAAATACTGTGTTTGCAATACCAGGGATGTCAAAACCAATTAAAGCAGTCCTTTGTCATGCAGGAGGATTTGCATCCAATTGTAGTAACATAGACCCTTGGTGTCGCAGACACAGGCTGCAGATCCTACGCAAAAACAAACCTCTGGTAGACTTGCCGTAGCCCCCAGGAGGCTGAGCTGGCCGCTAGGGCAAATTCCTACTCCTGTGTTAAAGCAGCTAAGACTAAAGGTCGTGTGCACAGCTGAGGCTGGACAGAGGGCAAAGGGGTGAGGCGAAGGGCAGAGAAAGAGGTAGAATTGTGGGGCAAGAGGACGCACTGGGGCAGATAACAGGAAGCAGGAGAGAGAGCATGGTGATGCTGAGGAGACCAGCAAGAGCCAGAGAGTAGCAACAGCAGCAGCAGCAGCACAGCAGCAGCATTCATATGCTTAGAAAACACTACTTTACACCTCTTCCACTCAATCCTCACAACAATCCTATTTCACAGATAAGGAAATGGAGGCACAGAGATGCTAACATAACTTGCCAAAATTTACACAGCCAGTGACGCCTTGGAGCCTGGATTTGAATCCTGACAGTGATTTCGGAGCCAAAAGTCTAGAGTAAATGAGGGGTGAGTGTGCAGAAGGGGAAAGAAGATCAAGCTTGGGTATGAGGGAGGGCACCAGGAGGGAATCATCTGAGTATCATTTGAGGGAATTTGGACAATGCTCTGAAATGAGGGTGATTTACTGAAATGATGGTGAATTGAGAAGGAAGCAACTCAATTAGCTATGTATTACAGAAAGATCCCTCAGCTCAGAGGCTGCATAGAAAATGTGCTGGAGGAGACAGATGGTTGGGGCAGAGAGGATATGCTTGAACTGAGGCGGGTGTGGAGCTGGAGGGAGGAAAGGAGGCTTGAGAAAATTTTCCAGGTAAAGTCGACAGGACTGGGTGAGGGAGAGAGCGGCATGCAGGACACCTTCCAAACATCGAGCTCGATG